TCTCTCTCACACACACACACTCTCTCACACACACTCTCACTCACTCTCTCTCACACACACACTCACTGTGTGTGTGTGTGTGTGCATGCGTGTGTGTGTATGCAGGGGGAGCTGCAGCAGGAGGAGTTGTTTGTTGCGGTGGAGATGTTGTCTGCGGTGGCTCTGGTTAATCAGGCCGTGGAGGTTCAAGACTTCGGTGCGTTCAGTGCTACACTGCTCAGTCCTGCAGCTGGACTCGCCGACATCGATGACAGTCTGATGCAGAGGTCTGACCACTCACTCATCAAAACCTGTTTCACTCGATCTCCTGCACGCCTTCTGTCTCTGATTGAGAGTTTGGTGTTTTATCCAGTCAAAGCTCTTTTAGTGTAACTGTACAAATGTCCAGCTTCAGCTGGAGCTTCTCGTGTCAAATCTTGACTGATTTTGATCAAGTAAAGGTCAGAATAACGTCAGTAATATCTCCAGATGAACTCTTACTGGACTGAAGCAGCTCAGCTTTACTTGATTCTCCATCAATCATGTTTTAGAGTCTCAAATCTGATCCTCAGGATCTTTTGAGGAGCGTTTGTTTCCAGAAGCTTTACTTTCACTGTTCCTCAGCAGAGGAATGATCTTCACAAGCCTCCAGAACATCTCACATCTTCTGAGGAGGAGCCTTTATTTCTTCAGCTCTCAATCACTGCATTATATGTTTGGAGCATTTCAATCTCATCTTACTGAGACAGATTATTGGAGAAATAGAGCGACCACTGATGTTTAGAACATTTTATGTCAGTATCTGCTGTATATTTTTGACAGTTTGAGTCTCTGAATAAAATTGAGCTTCATATTCTCACTATATCGGACTAGATGAGCCATAAAAGCCTGATAGAGCAAATATGACACAACATGTATTTTTTTTTATATTTATTTTGTCTAAAGATTCAATAAACTGTTCCATTTAAAAAAATGTGATGATTATTTCATATGTCAAACCGTGTGTGTGTAGGTATTTCGAGCAGCTGTGTGAGCTGAAGAGGAGGGCAGGTAAAGCTCTTCTCAGCTGGAACGATCTGCAGACGGGACTGAACGCCGTCAACTCGGCTGCTCACGAGGAACATGAACGTCAGTTCATCACAAATGTGATTTTAAAGTGATTATAATAATTAGTCAGCAGCATTAGTGATGGTCTGACTGTTGATCTCCGCAGAGATTCTCACCATCGGTCTGATCAATCAGGCTCTGAGCCGCAGCGATCCTCAGAAGACGCTCTCGGCGCTGATGCTGGCCTCCAGCGGCCTGCAGGACATCTTCCCGCTCAACGCCAGACGCTACCATGATGTGCTGACCCGAGCCAAACGACACAAGGCTGAGGTAACACCTTCATTAATCACTGCTGGTTTACTGCACTGCATCAGCATTGAGACCTGAGCCTTCTGTTGTTCAGTCATTCATTCATAAAGCTGCACTATAAGACTTTCTCTTTATATGCAAGTTACTTAGTGTTGTGCTTCTGCACAAATAACTCGTATCAGAGCAGATGTCAATTTAATGAAGTCATACTGACAGTCAGAAGTCCTGCAAGGCATGTTTCTGAATAAAAATGCTGTCTAAACAATAGTGTTGGGTACCGGGGTACTAATATGGCACCTATGTAACCGGTATGTACTAGAACCGAATCAGACCGCAGATGCCATCCCTGAGCGCTCGATTGAAATATTAGTCCTCTGGTTCTCCGAAACGGACGTAAGCATCATCATCACCGGCACCGCACGTGAAAAATAATTTCCCGACTGAGAAAACGCACGTGAGCTCAAGTCGGAAAGCTCTAATAATACAGATCCAACACATCTTTGTAGTAACGCGAGTGTGCATGTTGTTTCCACATTCCGACTTAAAAGCACAACTCGGGGAAACGAGAGCATACGAGGAGCGCGTGAATGCAGTAATTACACTTGCTCTGATGCCTTCCGTTAACTAAGCTAAACATGCTTAAATTAAAACGCCTAAATCTAAACCTCCCTTGTGTTCACATTTCTAAACCTAAAGAGAACATTATAACCTTTTTAACTCCACAACACCAGTCAGATGCTTCCTTCTGTGATCTGATGAGGCTTCTTGTCACAGAACGAGGCAGAAAATATGTTCCATAGGCTACTTTAAAAAGAATACATCGATTAGCAATGGATTATAAATATACTTAATTATTATGAAAATACCAGATGGCTTGAATAACACCGATAAACTATATTGTGGCAGTCGAGTGTTTATTGTCTTTGTTTTCTCATTCAAAACGTTTCTATGTTCTGTTTACTCGGTTACAGCACAGACATCATGTGCTTATAGTGTTAATGGCCAATCCATAATTTTTGGGGGAATTTTTATTTAATTATTTTTTAATAAGTATCGGTTCAAGGCACCGGAATCGTTTTAAAAGTATCGATTTGGCACCGGTATCGAAAAAACCGATACCCTACTAAACGAGTAACATTCTGATCTGACCTATTCTTAAAACATGAAATAAATCACATTACTAACATTGAGATATAACATCTAATTAGTCAGATTAGAGAGAGGACTAGACAGAAAATGAGAACTATTTCATTAAGCTTTGGTTCAGAAATTGTAAATGTTAAAATACTGGTCATAATTTGTGTGCAGTTACATACATGCATATTTATAAAAAAAATTAAAACAAATCCAGAGTGCGTCTTTAAATGTGTTAAATTTGATTGTACCTGAATCCTGAATAATAGGTTGCAGTCTCGCTCTGTATTTGGGGATGCTCTCGTTTCCATTCTGAACATGAATGAGGATGTTTTCTTGTGTAGCTGAGCCGTGATCCGGGAGCTGAGCTCTGGTTGGCTGACATTCAGGAAGCTGTGAGACTGGCCAATCAGGACACTCAGAAAGCGCTGAAGAGTGAGTGAACGCACACAAACACACATGATACGCTAGACACGCATAGTATAACTGCAAGGGTTTCTGATGGATAGAAGAAGAAAAAATTATTAATTCAAGGCAAGACACTAGAGGCAGTACCATTGCTTTTTATGCACTGGTCGATTTAGATCTATTTTGCTTCCATAACATGTCTGTCTGCATACTAGTGAAAAGAAAATATCCAAAATACACGTTTAAGTGTATTTTTGTTATTGCACTTAATCTGTTTCAATTCCAATCCATATCTTTTTGTTCTTACATGCACCAAACTGCAGTTTTATTCCTCTTTATATTCCAAAGGCTTTTATTGAGGGTTTTGTTCATAAATCGTTGACACTGATTTGTACAACATTTTACTACCGTGGTGAAAATGTTTGTTTTCTGTCTGTTGACAGTATTTTCTGATTTATGGAGTAATAAAAAGAGAAATCTAGAATCCTCTCTGGAAAAATCTTAAACTCTAATATTTCAGTAAAATCAAACTGGAATTTTGAATCTGGCAATGTTCAGTGTATGCAAATTAGAGCATATTTAACCAGATATGGTCTTATTTGCATATTTAAACATTTTTAACTTTTCAGAAGCTGGATAAGTGTGAAGTTTTTTTGTTTTTCCCTTAATAACCTGTAGTGTCTCGCCTTAAAGCGTACTTGTTACGTGCCCTGCCGCTTTAGATTGTAAGAGTTTATCACATCATTTTCAATCCTCACAAGGAAACAAATGCTAACTCTGTGTGTGTGTGTGTGTGTGTGTGTGTGTGTGTGTGTGCTGTACAGTGTGTCTGGGTCTGGCGGCGGTCAATCAGGCTGTTAAAGAGGGCCGAGCGTCTCAGACGTTGCGTGTTCTGCGTCTGCCAGAGGTGGCGCATGTTGTTTCCACATTCCGACTTAAAAGCACAACTCGGGGAAACGAGAGCATACGAGGAGCGCGTGAATGCAGTAATTACACTTGCTCTGATGCCTTCCGTTAACTAAGCTAAACATGCTTAAATTAAAACGCCTAAATCTAAACCTCCCTTGTGTTCACATTTCTAAACCTAAAGAGAACATTATAACCTTTTTAACTCCACAACACCAGTCAGATGCTTCCTTCTGTGATCTGATGAGGCTTCTTGTCACAGAACGAGGCAGAAAATATGTTCCATAGGCTACTTTAAAAAGAATACATCGATTAGCAATGGATTATAAATATACTTAATTATTATGAAAATACCAGATGGCTTGAATAACACCGATAAACTATATTGTGGCAGTCGAGTGTTTATTGTCTTTGTTTTCTCATTCAAAACGTTTCTATGTTCTGTTTACTCGGTTACAGCACAGACATCATGTGCTTATAGTGTTAATGGCCAATCCATAATTTTTGGGGGAATTTTTATTTAATTATTTTTTAATAAGTATCGGTTCAAGGCACCGGAATCGTTTTAAAAGTATCGATTTGGCACCGGTATCGAAAAAACCGATACCCTACTAAACGAGTAACATTCTGATCTGACCTATTCTTAAAACATGAAATAAATCACATTACTAACATTGAGATATAACATCTAATTAGTCAGATTAGAGAGAGGACTAGACAGAAAATGAGAACTATTTCATTAAGCTTTGGTTCAGAAATTGTAAATGTTAAAATACTGGTCATAATTTGTGTGCAGTTACATACATGCATATTTATAAAAAAAATTAAAACAAATCCAGAGTGCGTCTTTAAATGTGTTAAATTTGATTGTACCTGAATCCTGAATAATAGGTTGCAGTCTCGCTCTGTATTTGGGGATGCTCTCGTTTCCATTCTGAACATGAATGAGGATGTTTTCTTGTGTAGCTGAGCCGTGATCCGGGAGCTGAGCTCTGGTTGGCTGACATTCAGGAAGCTGTGAGACTGGCCAATCAGGACACTCAGAAAGCGCTGAAGAGTGAGTGAACGCACACAAACACACATGATACGCTAGGCACGCATAGTATAACTGCAAGGGTTTCTGATGGATAGAAGAAGAAAAAATTATTAATTCAAGGCAAGACACTAGAGGCAGTACCATTGCTTTTTATGCACTGGTCGATTTAGATCTATTTTGCTTCCATAACATGTCTGTCTGCATACTAGTGAAAAGAAAATATCCAAAATACACGTTTAAGTGTATTTTTGTTATTGCACTTAATCTGTTTCAATTCCAATCCATATCTTTTTGTTCTTACATGCACCAAACTGCAGTTTTATTCCTCTTTATATTCCAAAGGCTTTTATTGAGGGTTTTGTTCATAAATCGTTGACACTGATTTGTACAACATTTTACTACCGTGGTGAAAATGTTTGTTTTCTGTCTGTTGACAGTATTTTCTGATTTATGGAGTAATAAAAAGAGAAATCTAGAATCCTCTCTGGAAAAATCTTAAACTCTAATATTTCAGTAAAATCAAACTGGAATTTTGAATCTGGCAATGTTCAGTGTATGCAAATTAGAGCATATTTAACCAGATATGGTCTTATTTGCATATTTAAACATTTTTAACTTTTCAGAAGCTGGATAAGTGTGAAGTTTTTTTGTTTTTCCCTTAATAACCTGTAGTGTCTCGCCTTAAAGCGTACTTGTTACGTGCCCTGCCGCTTTAGATTGTAAGAGTTTATCACATCATTTTCAATCCTCACAAGGAAACAAATGCTAACTCTGTGTGTGTGTGTGTGTGTGTGTGTGTGTGTGTGTGCTGTACAGTGTGTCTGGGTCTGGCGGCGGTCAATCAGGCTGTTAAAGAGGGCCGAGCGTCTCAGACGTTGCGTGTTCTGCGTCTGCCAGAGGTGGCGCTGCGGAGCGTGGTGTCCGGATGTGCTGATGGGTATCAGACGGAGCTGACCGCCCTGCTCCGCGCCAAAACACTGGAGGGTCGGTCCAACACAAACACACACACAACTAGAGCTCTGTTACACAGCTGGACCCAACTAACTGCTGCATTCAGTGTGTAACGTACAGGGATCTTTTTTGAAACGGGGTCAATTTTTTGAAATGGGGAATTTTGAAAGCTGAATAAATAAACTTTCCATTGATGTATGGTTTGTTAGGATCGGACAATATTTGAAAATCTGGAATCTGAGGGTGCAAAAAAATCGAAATATTGAGAAAATCATCTTTAAAGTTGTTCAAATGAAGTTCTTAGCAATGCATCTTACTAATCAAACATTAAGTTTTGATATATTTACGGTAGGAGATTTACAAAATATCTTCATGGAACATGATCTTTACTTAATATCCTAATGATTTTTGGCATAAAAGAGAAATGTATAATTGTGACCCATACAATGTATTGTTGGCTATTGCTACAAATATCCCCCAGCGACTTAACACTGCTTTTGTGCTGCAGGCTCACGTATAAGAGCCGTAAAGTTGCGAAAATTAAAGTCTCAAACCCAAAGAGATATTCTTTCTGAAAGTTAAGACTCGTCCACGCCCTCCTAAAACGCCTCGTTTAAACGCGATGATTTGCATAACTCCGCCCAAATGTGTACGCGAAGGCGTAGCTTTTATTCTCGCTGTACTATTGTTGTCGTGGAGACGCTGTATGTTTCCAAATATGGTAAGGGGCGTAACATTTCATCAAACGCTTGAGGTATTCGGCCAATCACAGCACACTGGATAGCTGGCCAATCAGAGCACACCTCGCTTTTCAGACCGATGAGCTTTGTAAAAATCGACACGTTTCAGAAAGACAGGGCAGAGAGGAGCCACAATAATGTACAGTGTGTGGAAAATAATGTTTTTTTTTTTAACCTTAAACTACTAAACACTGCATTACACCAAATACACAACATGATGTGTTTTTTAGCATCGTCATATGACCCCTTTAATATGGTCCCAGAAAACCTGACGATCATGAGTGTAGGGTTTGGTGGCAGAAATTATAAGTTTAATGCTATTTATTTTACACTTGCACTCTTTGAGCTTCTACATTTGGTAGTAAATGCAGTTACTTGTTGCATGTAGAGAACATGCTGACTTCAACACACACACAGCACGGGAATATTATCCTTGTTTTTAATTCATAAGTCTGCAATGCTGACTATATCTGTGTGATTCATACTGAAACTCGTCCTGTATGATCCCCGTGATGTTTAAGCGTGTGTTTGTATGTTGAGCAGGGGATAACAGAAGCCCGTGGATGAGGACGAAGCTGCCGGAGAGCAGCTCTTATTTCTTTCATCTGCAGAAGCTGGAGGGCACCTGGGAAAGACCTCAAGGCTTCGTCCAGAACAGCACCTTCCTGATGCACGAGGAGATACAGGTGAGACACACACACACACACCTGAACCAGCAAAACATGCTGAATCTGACATCCAGGGGCCAGTTGTTTAAAGTTAATCCAATCGGATTTTGGCCATCGGATTGGATCAAATCTTAAAAATGGGTTGTTCAAAATAAAACTGACGATCAGATCACGAAATCCAATCTTGGTTTTGATCTGGATTAAATCTTCAGTTTGTGTTGCTCAAAACGTTTTCGTAAGATTGGTATAGTTTTGATCCAAAAAAACTGGATTGTTCTGATCCCGGCAGAACGGTGGATTTCAGGACCAAAAATTTTATAAAACTATCCAAAAAAATACAGCATTTGTAACATGTACCCCCGGTTTCACAGAGGAGGCTTAAGCCTAGTCTCAGACTAAAATGTAAGTCTGAGCTGTTTAAACTGAAAGAAACTTGCACAGACTGATCTTAAAATATGTCAGTGCCTTTGTTTTGTCTCAAGATGCACACCACTGATGTTTTTTTCTAAGGCACGTTTATAAAAATGACTTAAAGATGACCTATTATGCCCCTTTTTACAAGATGTAAAATAAGTCTCTGATGTCCCCAGAGTGTGTATGTGAAGTTTTAGCTCAAAATGCCCTACAGATCATTTTTTATAGCTTGTTGAAATTGCCATTTTTAGGGTATGAGCCAAAACGCGTCGTTTTTTGTGTTTGTCCCTTTAAATGCAAACGAGCTGGTGCTCCCGCCTCCCCTTTCAGAAGAGGGCGGAGCTTCTAGAGCTCATGCACCAGCATGCCACTCTCTCACGCACTGAAAATGTCTGCTAGTAGCGGTTTTCAGCCATATATGTTCGAAACGGTGTCGTGCCGAATTCTGCACCCTGCCAGATTATTTATGAATTACACAGACGGGGAGCACGGCGCTATTAAAAATAACAACAAAGCTGGTCTCATGGTGCTCATTGCTTTCATTTGCAATTTTTAACTACCACATTCCTATTCACGATCATCGCTGGCAGCACGTGAAGCCAGCATCAGTGAAAACAGAGACAATGGTAGCTTTAGCAGCATTATTAGTCTTACAGAGTGCCAAGAAGGCACTTTGGAAAACAGACGCGTGATGATACTTCTTCTAGATGGCGTAACGTTAGCTGGATCACGAACAGTTGGCACTGCTCCATCCTTCAGGAGCAACTTTTGTGCAAAACCTGCTTTATACTGACCCTCATTCACAAAGCAGTCCGGTGGAAAATGATTCACGCAGACATAAATGAATTTCTGTAGAGTTGAGGGAGCATTCTCTTCGAAAACAAAATGAGTCCACCTCGTCTTCAGCGGCTGAGATTTCGGGGGTAAATGGAGAGAGCGATGTGGATTAATACATCCAGCAACAGAACGCCTGAAACGCTTGGGAGACATTCTCGTCAGTGCAGCAATGGCGGACTGTGTACAACTCGCTGTGAACTCGCTCAGTGTCTGTCAACATTCGTGGGCGGGGCCTGTGGCTAATGTGACGTCACATTAGCACCAATGCTAAAAATAGGCCATTGGGAGACACTGCTTATTATTTATGGGGATTTTAAAAAAAAGGAGTGGGTGAATTTTTATCATTATAGACACACTGCCAACACACATTTATGTCCAAACACCTTGCAAAAGTGAATTTTGCATAATAGGTGCCCTTTAAATGTCCTAATTGAGCTATGGCCTAATCCTGGTTTATATCCACAAATCCCCATTGGCGCAATCAGAGATGGACCAGTCAGAAGTAGTTATTTGTGTAAATGCACTGCAAAACTAGAATGCAAAACATTGGCTTAATCAGCATGTCCCTTTAGGGGCTCCGTAGAGCACTAGTAATCCAGATTTGGAAATCTAGAAAAGTGTGTATCTGGATCGGGGTGATCCAATCCAATTTTGCACAAATGTAAGATGGGTTACCTGATCCTGCATAGCAAAAAACCCCTGATCATTCTGATCCAGATTAAACTTTTTGATCAACTGGCCCCAGAGGTGACTGTGTGGATGTGTTTTCTGCCGCCCCCTGCAGGCCGTGTGCAGTAGCGTGACTGCGGCTCACAGCAGAGGTGTGCAGTGGAAGGCCAGTGAGCCGCTAGTGCTGCAGCTGCAGGCGCGCATGCGAGGGTTCCTGCTGCGACAGACGCTCGCCGAGCGCTTGCACTTCCTGAACACTCAGCTGCCTGCCGTCATCACCATCCAGGTGAGACTCACCTGTGCATCAACATGCACACACAAAACTTTAGTTTTAGTTGTTTACTTCACAAAACGCATTGTTTCAAAGCAGCTTCACGGTAAATCTTGATGTTAACGTTTATATTATATTATTAGTTAAAGCTGCAGTCCGTAACTTTTGACGCTCTAGCAGTTAATAAACAGAACTGCGTGCATCTTGAGGAAGAACTATGTTTGTTTGTCTATGACGAATCACGCAGTTACTGGGCTACACTGCAGCGGTTCCTACCAGAACCAGTCTGAATATAAACACTTAATATAGGTGTACCTAGGGTTGCAAAGGGGTGGAAAATATTCGGTAAGTTTCCGAAAACTTTCCAAAAATCCCTGGAATATTAAAAAAAAAATCCTGGAATGTTTCCGAAATTTACTGGAAACTTTCCACCGTTTCGCAACCCTAGGTGTACCACAGTGATTCAGGATAAGCCGAAAACACGGTTTGGAAAATGGATTCATGATGCACTTGCTTATAAATTTTGTAAATTGTGAACACAAAAAAAGTTACTGCAGCTTTATGTATATACATTTTATAGGGGTGGGATTCTTACAGTGCCTCACGATTCAGTTCATATTGATTCTTGGGGTCACAATCGATTTTTAGTCACAATTTTATACATTTTTTTGTGCACACTAGACATCAAACTCACCAGTATTTTGATACAACACAAGAGTCTATAGTACGTGTAGTCCTGACTCAAGAAATCAGTGTTTCCTATTAACTATTACCTTCCTAATAAATCAGAAATAGTTTACACTTCACAACAAAAGATCAATAATTACCGGTAATATAATATTTTCCAAACACTTGCCTTTGCTGAAAATAGGGCAGGATGTGTTTGTTTTTCCTCCTCCATTGCTGCTGCGGTTTTGTTTCGACGACAACATATGTGACCATGGAGCACAAAACCAGACTTAAGGGTCAACTTTTCGAAATTGAGATTTATGCATCATCTGAAAGCTGAATAAAGAAGCTTTCCATTGATGTATGGTTTGTTAGGATCGGACAACATTTTGAAAATCTGGAATCTGAGGGTGCAAAAAAATCTAAATATTGAGAAAATCATCTTTAAAGTTGTTCAAATGAAGTTCTTAGCAATGCATATTACTAATCAAACATGAAGATATTTTGTAAATGTCCTACCGTAAATATATCAAAACTTAATGGAACACGATCTTTACTTAATATCCTAATGATTTTTAGCCGCTGTATCTGGCTCAGCTGATCTTCCTGATGCCTCAGAATAAAAGCACCAGCTTCATGGAAACGGTGATCTTCACGCTCTTCAACTACGGCTCAGACTGCAGAGAGGCCTTCCTGCTGCTGCAGCTCTTCACCGCCGCGCTGCGCCACGAGATCCAGTACAGAAACACACTCGACAGCTTGATAGAATGCATTCATATACCTGTGCCAGAATATAGCTTTTAAAATGCATTCACATTAGGGATGTAACGATATTATCTTGATATTATCGCGGTCAACGCAAAACGCAAAAAGTGCGTTTTTAAAATATATTTTTAAACTTTTTATTCTAAAAGGTGTTTAAAGTTGTGTTTTGGGTCATT